ATGACCTGATTGACCATTACTGGATTTTGTACCTGGATGATTGAGCAAAAACTTTGATGTCTTGAACCACTTTGGCTGTGGCTGCCTTTCCACAAAAAAGAAACTGGCCAGATGAACTGGATTATCTATAAATTATTTATTAGCCATCTGTAAGGGGAGCCTTATTGCAAAGTGGTACCAAAAAAAAAATTAAAAAAAATCTAACAAAGTTAAGTCAGGTCCTCTGGATGGATAAATTAAAAAAAAAAACTTGTTGAAACGTTTCATCTTTAATCTATAAGACTTCCTCAGTCTGAGGAGCTGCAGTAAACTCAGTTTTATAAATAGCACCTTCTCATATTGGATGATGACATCCAGAACTAGCTGTTCACATGATAAAGAAGGACCGTCATCCTAACGACTGATCGTAAATGCCCTGATGGCCGCTTGCTATTCAGAGAATACTAGTGGTAACAGTGTTGTAAGAGGGGGACAGATGGGCACAGAGGCTCCACCCCTGTTTAATGATGGACCAGTTCTCTTCACAAAGATGGCTTCCTTCGCTTCCTTCACTTCCTTTACTTCCTTCACTTCCTTCGCTCCTCCCTCTTTGATTTACAGCCTTATTGTTGGGAGACATTCATGTTGGTGTTTTGTTGTTGTTGTTGTTTTTAGGTTTATTTTTGGTATCTGTTTTCAGCTATGCAGGAGGGGAAAGCTTTGTGGGTTCAGCTCTCACTGATGCAAACACGACAGCCAGTCACTTTGGATAAAAGCACGTACCAGCCGGTGCACTATATGTCTTGGACTGCTGAAAAATAAAAGCTCGAAATCCTGAGAAGTTTGCTTTCACAATGGTTCTGCTTTTATTTGACAGCAACAGAATATTTTTGCTCTTTTCCACTGGAAATACGTTCTTTTGTTTTGTTTTTCCTCTGTCACCGTGGCTGTGCAAGAATATTCTGAACCAGAAAATAGACGTGGATCCAAAGAAAACCTCCTGTCAGTGTTAATAACGTTCTGTGTTCACTTCGCAGCAACTCGTTTTGTCCCACGTGGTATTTAAAGATTTTATTTTCTCCTCGTCTTGCTTTAAAATATAAAATAAATAAAAAGTTGCTCTCCTTCAGCAGCTGTGCAGAAATACAGGGGCAACATCTGTCCCGCCAGATGTCACCGTAAAATCTACAAGCGTTCCAAACATTTGGGTGATAAATAGACCGTGACCAAACATGCTAAGAAAAATGGTGAAACTGGAAGCAACAGGTCTGGAAGCGCTGCTGGGATTCTGTTTTAATGTGTTGGAAGGTGCTCTGACTCGCCGGGTGTTTAGTTGTGACAATGGCTTCTTGTTCTGGGCAAAATATGTTTTTTATTTGAACTAAAAAGAAGCAAATGATTGACAGAAAGTAAAAAGGTGCAATACGGAGAAACATGTTTTAAATATGCCAGTTTCATATGGCAACGAGACAAAAAGGACCAACGAAATAATCTGAGTCATCGTCTGCTCGATGGAAACAGACTTCCAGAAAAAAAAAATAAAGCATGTGGCTGCTCAGCCAAAACAATATTGTCATGTTTGAATGAGAAAAGAAAAAAAGTAGAGAGTTAAAACAAAATGAAATAACTAAAAAGTTAATAAAGTAAAGAATAAAAAAGCTAAATACATTATACAGAACAGCCATTGTCTTAAATGTACTATTTAAAATAAGCAGTACTTTAGAAACATCTGTATATATGGATGGAAAAATCTACTAATCAATATTGAGAGATTTAAAGGTTAATTCATACATCGTTAAATAAAATATGTTTGATTAATGTGAAGAAAATGAAAAAAATAAAGAAGAGAATAAAAAAAAGCTAAATAAATTGCATAGAACAAACATCATAAATGTACTATTTAAAATAAGCAGTACTGTAGAAATATCTGTACATATGGATGGGAAAAAAATCTACAAATCAATATTGATAAAGGTTAATTCATACATCATTAAATAAAATATGTTTGATTAATGTGAAGAAAATGAAATAAAACATTTAAAAGACTTAACACAAAACATTAATTTATTATATATAGAAAACTATTTTAGTGTAAGCAAATTCCAAAAAATCTTATGTATATAAATAAATCCATTTATTAGTATATTTATACAAACATATATGTATTTATTTGTATTATTGACGTAATGGCAGAAATATAATGTCATGATGACGGGACATGTTGATGCGTTCAGTTGAACATTTTACAGGATTTCAGGCTGCAGCACCATTTCTTACTTCATCACCAACCCTGATGTTTTCTTTTTTTATTTTCAACATCCAGATTAATAATTTTAACATATTTAAACTGACATGTTCCTTTTGCACAGAACATAACTGCACTGCATAATCCACAATGACTGGCTGTCTTATGTCTTTTAGTTTCCTCTTTGACCCTAATAAACAAATTGTTTCTTCTCAGGTGCTCGGTCTGTGAGCGCACCTTGAAAAAAAGTCTCATTTGATACTATTCTGCTGAAATTAATAGACGTCCATGCATCAGCAGACAATCCTTCTTCTTCTTCTTCTTTCTGCTTTTCCCTCTTCATGGGTCTCCACAGTGAGTCATCCTCCTCCACCTCACTCTGTCCTCACTCCAACTCCCTCCATGTCCTCTCTAACTGCATCCGTATATCTCCTCTATCTTTTTCTTGGCAGCTGCATTTCTAACATCCTTCTACCAATATACCCACTGTCCCTCCTCTGGACATGTCCAAACCACTGTCCCTCCTTTGGACATGTCCAAACCACTGTCCCTCCTCTGGACATGTCCAAACCATCCCAGTCTGGCCTCCCTAACTTTCTCTCCCAGTTGTTCAACCTGTGCTGTACCTCTGATGATCTCATTCCTGATCTTCTCCATCCTTGTCTCTCCTCAGGAGAACCTCAACATCTTCAGTTCTGCCACTTCCAGTTCTGTCTCCTGTCTTTCTGTCCATGTCTCTCGTTGGTCTCACCACTATCTTGTAAACTTCTCCTTTGACCTTTGCTGACACCCTTTTGTCGCAAATCACTCCTGAAACTTTTCTCCATCCACTCCATCCTGCCTGGACTTTCTTCTTCACCTCTTTATCACACTCTCCATTTTCCTGGACAGTGGACCCCAAGTCCTTGAAGTCCTGCACCTTTGTGACCTCTGCTCCTTGTAGCCTCACTCTTCCACCTCCTCTCTCTCATTCACACATGGACTCTGTCTTACTACGACTGACATTCATTCCTCTTCTTTCTAGTGCATACCTCCACCTCTCCAAGTTCTCTTCCACCTGCTCTCTGTTCTCACCACAGCTCAGAATGGTTCATGGTTGACTGGTTTATGCCTCAGAAGACAAGAATCCTGATGAAAACATTTTTCATTTCTACTGACATCTGAATTAAAAACATTTTAAACATTTTATTTTACAAACTCCATTGCAAGTCACTTTTATCGATTTGCACACAAAAAATAAAACTGCAATAAAACGGATGTTAAGGCCTGTACGCTCTCTGTCCCAGCGTGTTGACAAAGCCGAGCGTGATGCTCTGCTAGTGCCGATTTTCATCTTACATAACCGCGTGCAAATTTTACAGCGTGCCATAGACGCAGGCAGAATGAGCTTTGCAGCAGCTCACCAGAGCATCGTCCGAACCGAACGGAGAGATTTAATTGCAGGGAGATAAGGTTTATCGTGTGCGTGCGTATCTGCTGTGCGTTCTGAGAGGGTTTAATGCTGACGGGAGCTGAACGATGAGTGCGTAATGACTCAGAGCCATAAGGTGCAGCTCGGGCGGCGCTTGGCTCCACTCGGCCTGCGGTGGCTCTGAGGATTTGTCCACGCTAACGCCAGGAACGTTGCCAGCATCAGCGGCTGTTTTCTCCACGTCACATTCATCCAAGCGGGAGCTCACGGGAACGGTTTATGAATGAATGAGACTTAAAGCCAGCTGGTTTGATTAAGAAATGATTTTAAATGTTTGGAGAGTTTTGTTTATTGTCTGAATAAGAAGTCTCTTCCCTGTTTTAACTCTATGTTAAAAAAAGAAAACCTCAATAGGCTTTTCTTGTTGGTAAAGTCACGAAAAATTAACATTTATGCTCATTTATGACGCGTGTCGAGGAAAACCATGGTAAAAAATTAATCATAATTCATGTCTTCAAGTATTTTGTATCAGCTTTTACTATCATTTCGTATCCAGGTATGTCCCTACTGCTAAAATTTGTGATTTTAATTTCTCCACAGCTCCAGAGCATTTGTAGTTTGTGCTTTATAAAACAATAAATGGTTTTATTTGGTGGCTTCTAGACTCCTTTGTGGCAGCCATCCTGTTCATGCAGTGCACCGTTTGGTTTGTTCTTATAAGCAAAGCCTTTCAAGAATTACTTTACTTGTGCTTTTTTAAACTCTGCTGACAAATAAGCAGGATTATTTCTTTCATTTTCTTATAGCTATTTTTTTGGAGTCAAAAAGGATGAATAAATACATTTTTTGGTTAAATTTCTGTCCATACTCAGGTTTAGAGAATTTCTTTAACATGAATCATGTTTTTTGTAGAGTGCAGAGCCGTTTGATGGCCTAAAGATATTTCAGTATAAGTGTTCACCCCGTCCCCGTGTAGAAAGAAAATTACCTGGATTTTCTGAATTCGATGGTTATTGTGAAGTGCAGATGATGAAACTTCCAGATATTTTATAATTTGCTCTTCAGATTTTCACTCATGCTGAAATGCAGTTGAGCATATATTTTAGAAAGCAACGTTTGGTTTGTTGTTCTCCTGTCATGAATTAAATATAGGGTTGAAAACAAGTGCAAGTCTCTGCAGCCTGTTTGAAATTCCATCCTGCAAAACTTTGTCTTTAGATTATTTTGGGAATAAAACGAGTGCAGGAGTTCAGAAAACCATCGGTTTGGTTCAATTTTCTTCAGTTTTTGAAGAAAAGAGAATGAGTTCACCTTATTGTGTATTAATTATTAATGTGAGCTTCCATCCATCCTTACATCCATCTAGTCATCCATCCATCAATACATACATGCATACATACATAAATCCATCATCCATCCATCCATCTATCTATTCATCCATCCATTCACTCATCCATAAATACATCCATCAATCTATTCATCTATCATCCATAAATACATTAATCCATCCACCCATCCATTCACCCATAAAT